TATGGTTTCTACTCTACCTAGGTATTAAGTTAGATTTAATAAAACCACAATATGATGCAGCTTAAAATAGGAATTAGATTAAGATATTTATATAAAAACTTTCTAATGTCCCAACAAAATTTATGATATATGATACCTACTACAAGTCATTCACGCTTACAAAATGTACTATTGCACATGCATTTAATCTAGAATAGAAGGTATAAGATAGCAGTAATTAATTGTTAGTCCATTCGAATGCGCGATAAGAACTATGCAAATTATTAAACACTTGCATGCACCTTTAGTACAATAAAGTGTATAAATAAATTAAATAAATAACACAAAACGAGAGAGCAATCACAAAGGACATCTTTCATAAATATATTTGTGATAAGATGTAACTGTCAAGTATACCATACTATTAGTTTTAGATTGTTATATAATGCAGAGCACACGCCTTATCTTTTTATAACTGAGAAGTTTATAGTTATATGACAATCATCATAATTATCATCATTAGGGCCCTATAAAAGTAGTGCTGAACCACACCCAGGGCCTCTCCCCCAAGGAATGCAGCGAAAAATCAAGGTCCTAAGCCAGTGCCACCTACATACAGGTCTTAACTACATTATAAATCATAGAAATATTATGAAAGTCATGTGCAACCCTACCACCACCAGTGAATATAACTGTATGCAACAATAATTTGCTTAATACTGCACACATCTGTGATCCACAAAACAAAACATACATTTCTGACAGTCATGAGTATCAGTTACGATTTTATTCTATTAAAATTGAATTTTATACCTGTAGTTTGCTTCACATGACTATGCTTTCTATCTCATGTATCAATGCAACCAAAAAAACTGTTTCTTTTTTTTAAATTTAAATTACACTATGTACATGTATAAGATTCTATTAAACTTTTTAACATAGTAAAACCACACTGCAGCTATTCTATGGTTGAGCATAAATGGGTCGCTTTGACCAAGGAAGGAAGCTCTCCCAGAATACCAGCGTAAAATAATGATTTTAGTATTAAGCGTATTTTTTTAGCTTAAAATGTATTAAATGTAAATAGGTTTCCTCACAAATTAAACTGTGATATAATGTTTGGGTAAAATAGAATAAATCATTATTTTCTAAATCTTCCCAGCCACATTACTTTGAACTATTCATTAAAGATATATGTAACTATATAGGTAAGATTTAGATCTTTACTGTACATTAATTAAGACAAAAATCACAATCAAAAATATAAAGCATGAGTGGGTCAGCTCAACCAGGGCAAGACCACACACTCACAGGATAATCACAATGGTGCTATGATTCGTACGGTGAGTGTAGAGAAATGGAGACCCTTTTTACTGGAATCAAGGCATTCCATATTAGTCTTCCGAGACAACAATGCATTTGCATTTTGATTCTTAATTGAGGTTAAATGTTGATGTGTATGGGCCACAGTATCCACTTACCATCAGGTCGACTGTGTGCTCATTTGTCACCCAATACTATTAAAAAAACTGTCTCTTTGAACAGCTTCTAAAAGTCCATTGCTGGTCATGAACCTATCCCATTTGTTCTCAATCTACAAATTGGATATTTTACATATAGTGTACGCGAGATCATGATGGGTATCTATTAGAAACAATAAGATCTTGCACATACTTTCTATAGTGGCCTCTTACAACACCCACGGGACTAATAGGGGTGATAGATTATAAGGGTTGGATTTAGAATCATTTGGTAGGAATTTGGGGAAGTAAGGTATTTTATTTGGTAGAAGTTAGGTCCCTGGTTATAATAATACCACTCACATTAAAAGGTAATGCACCATTATAAAAAAAAACTATTATAAACTAAAATGCGTAAAACATGGAAAAACACATGAAAAATTACTGTGAAAGCTGCATAGCATGTAGAATTTTGTATTAGTGTGACAAGGATGTAAGACTAGTGTCACATTATTCTACTGTCTTATACTCTGTCAAGTATCAAATCAGAGCAGTTCCCGCCTGCCGTAGCAAATTGCAGATATATGACCGCCGCCGAAATTGACCAATAAGCTGAAGTTGCGGACATGAGCATGGGTGCCTGTGATTCAATACGCAAGGACGAAGGGACTGCACTTCCTGCAGCGTCAAAGCCACTGTAGAAGTAACTTTGGGTCAATATTCCTGTGCAAAAAAAGTGAAATAATAATTTTACAAAAACACCATTACTCATAAACTATACTTTTCCGCAAGGAGGAGGGTAGGGTAGATGGGCTTTCCCTGATAGGGCACACTCCTGCTCCCCTCTCCTACCGTCCTACCGGAGACGATAAATATTATCATTTTGAGGTTAGGTCTGTGGGATTTTCTTTTTGATTTTTCTCAAGAACGGTGTATTACATTTTGATGGGAGTTGAATTCGGGGTTATGGGGACGGTCAAACCCTCCCCTCATCCCTCCCCCGTCGTACCAAACAATTCTAAATTTGAACCAGATAAGACTAAAACATAAGTTGAATATAGTAGTTATTATTACTTACCGCCTGTGATATATCTGGAAGTGACTGTCGTGGTGTTGTTTCGGCAAACAATGTTGCACACTCAACTTGCTTTCCCATAGCAAGGTTATCAGCACGCACAAATGGCCGAGAAGGGTTAAAAAACGAGCTGGTATTAAAGTCTCCGCCCCTCTCATACCTTTTCAATTATATAGTCACAATCCGACGGAAATTTTAATAACACAAATCCGGGTTTTTAAGCTTACTTTTAATTTGATCTACTAAAAGTATAAGTCCGATATATTTAAACTTTTAATCATGGATTTTCCTTAGCAATTCCAATTTATTCCCCTTATAGAAAGGAGATAATATGTTATGTTGTAAATTGCAAAATCGAACTTTCTATTTTTTGTGTACACTGCTTATAATTTACACCACCCACCACTCGCAAAGCGTAAATAAACATCAACACAGATCACTTTAACTATATCCGAGCATAGATAAATAAATATTTATCAAGCTATATTCGAGTAACATCAAATTCAATTTTAAAGCATAGATAAATAATAACTAATTTTTTTTAAATATGTAACAAGCTCTAAGTCAGAGGTTAGAGAAGTGGAGAACGAACGCTTTAGAAAATAGTGTCCCAGAATAAGTAAGGCGCTGCGATCGGTAAGTTGTCTCGATAAAAGCGGGCTCTTGTACGCTAGTTTGAAATCCTTATAAGATTCAAAGAAAAAAAAAAGAAAACAAAATTATTATTTCTTATTAATAAATAAATTATAAATTACGTTTTTATAATGCTAATTATTATAAATATTATAAATTTTTACAAATATAAATTATTAATTATAATTGATTTTTTATTTGTTTTTTTTTTTATCAATAAATAAAAAATTACCTCGCACGTACTATTTACCGACGGCAGCGCGGCTATAATTTCTACAAATTTTCAGACATTCGTGCTTTAGCACGTAGCGATCGTTCTCCTGACCTCCATGACCATGGAGGTTAGAGACATAGATTGCTTCATACATCATGGAGGTTAAAGAAGAGGAGAACAATCACTGTAGAAAATAGTGTCCCAGGAATATGGACAAAATAAGTAAGGCTGATGTATATGATCCATTGTAAACTGCCAGCTCATGAGGTACCTTGAGGATCACCAGCTGATTAGTGACCGCCAATACGGTTTTCGCGGTGGTAGGTCAGCTGGTGATCTTCTGGTCTACCTAACTCACAGATGGGCGGAGGCAGTAGAGTCCAAGGGGGGGTCCATTGGCCGTTAGTTTGGACATTGCGAAGGCCTTCGATCGGGTTTGGCACAAAGCGCTTCTTTCGAAGCTCCCTTCCTATGGGCTTCCCGAGAAATTGTGCGACTGGATCACCAGTTTTCTTGCAGATCGGAGCATCAAGGTCGTTGTAGACGGTGCAAGCTCCGATTGCAAGCTTATTAATGCTGGTGTTCCACAGGGCTGCGTGCTATCGCCAACGCTGTTTCTTCTGCATATCAATGATATGTTGCAAACCCGTAGCATTCATTGCTATGCAGATGACAGCACTGGTGATGCTCTTTACACCGGCCGAGCAAATATTTCTCGGGAAAACGTCTCTGAGTGCCGGGACAAACTTGTGTCTGAAGTCGAGTCTCTGCTGGACAGAGTCTCGGATTGGGGGCGACTAAATCTAGTCCAGTTTAACCCCCAGAAGACACAAGTTTGCGCGTTAACCGCTAAAAAAAACCCCTTTGTCGTATCCCCTCAGTTTCAAGGCACTCCCCTTGTTGCCTCAGCCAGTATCGGAATCCTCGGCGTCGACATATCGAGTGACGTGCAGTTTCGTGGACTTGGAAGGAAAGGCCAAATTGGCCTCTAAAAAGCTTGGCGTGCTCAGCAGAGCGGGACAGTATTTCATGCCGGCACACCGCCTGCAACTTTACAAGGCGCAGGTTCGGCCGCTCATGGAATACTGTTCCCATCTCTGGGCTGGGGCTCCCCAGTACCAGCTCCTTCCACTTGACCGCATCCAGCGCAGAGCGGCTCGAATCGTCGACGACCGAGTGCTTTCCGATCGGCTCGATTCACTGGCGCTGCGAAGAGATGTTGCATCTCTTTGCGTATTTTATCGCATCTATCACGGGGAGTGCTCTGAGGAATTGTTCGGATTAATCCCAGCCGCCAAATTTCGTGAACGCACTACACGGCAAACGTCCCGATACCATCCACACCATCTGGATGCTTGGCGGTCCACCACTGTACGTTTCAAAAGGAGTTTTCTTCCGCGTACAACCTCTCTGTGGAATAATTTACCACCGGTGATTTTTCCGGACCGATACGACCTGGGGACCTTCAAGAAAAGAGCTTACTCCTTTCTAAAGGGCCGGCAACGCACCTGCAATTCCCCTGGTGTTGCGGTTGATCATGGGCGGCGGTAGTCACTTAACATCAGGTGAGCCACATGCTCGTTTGCCCCCCTCTTCCATAAAAAAAAAAAAAAAAAATGCGCACAGGTACTTCGAAATAATGAGTGAGTAATAAACCGATTTTCTGGCAGTACAGTCGTTTCATTTAGATCGCCAAAAAAACATGGCATACATCGGAAATGTACCGAACTTTGAGTATAAAAATAGTTAGTGGTCGATTTTTAAAGGGAAATTGACGCAATTTTTCAAAGTCAATAACATCAGTGAAGACAATAAAAGTGCAATACTTATAGCAAACTTCTCAGATGAAACCTATCGACTCGTACGTAACCTAGCGTACCCGCGCGAAACAGGAACGCTAAGTTACAGAGAAGTGGCGGAGTTACTCGATAAACACTTTGAGCCAAAACACAGTTCTTTCGTAGACAAAGCAAGATTCTACGGAGCGACAAGAAACCCGGGCGAGCCATTAGGAGAATGGGCGGCGCGACTACGAGGTCTTGCAAGTTATTGCAACTTTGGTACCGCCTTAGAAACGGTTTTACTGAATCGTTTCGTCCTAGGCTTGGGGACGGGCCTCGAGCGGGATAGGCTATTTGAGCAAAATGAATCAAGTCTATCTTTTGCAAAGGATTTGGAAATAGCTGAACAGGCAGCTTATACGAGAGAGGCCAAGGCTCTTGTAAGCAGGGAAATGAGTATTAGCATCAAGGATGAGCAGGTATATTACTCAGCTGACAAAACTAGTCGTCGGAGTGACGGGAGCCATTGGAGAAGCAGTGGGGGCATGCATGTATGTGCCACCGACGACAGAGGAAGCGGTGGCAGTGGCAGAGCGAGTGTATCTCGTAAAGGGTGTAAAGAAGAGGCTACCAATCGTTGCGCTGTATGTGGTTTAACAACACATAGTGCTGAACAGTGCCGTTACAGGACCTATCGGTGTCAAGTGCAAGTGCGGTGTCATTTAAAAAAAATGTGTAAAGTTCGCGTACACAACATAAATACCGTTAAGAAGGAAACTGAACCAGACGGGGACTGTGGGGCCTGCATGGAGTGCCGTTTGCATAGTATGAGGTATGAGACTTTCGCTCCTATTACTTTGGTAGTGAATATTAGCAATAAAAATTTCCGTATGGAATTAGATTCGGGAGCAGGCATTTCAGTTATGTCCAAACAATTTTTTTGCAACATTTTCCTACCGTCACATTAAATTATAAATATAATATCAGAATGTGTGTTTATAACGGACACAAAATTACGCCTTTAGGTTATTTCTGTACAAAGGTAAAATATAACGATTTCACGAAACAATTAAATTTCTTTGTTATTAAAAATGGTGGGCCACCACTTTTAGGGCGTGATTTTATGTCTAAATTTAACATTAAGTTGACAACAGTTAATAATAATAACATTATTATGGACAGCTATGAAAGTGAAGTTCAAAATTTATTAAATACGTTCGCAGACTTGTGGAGTAAAGAACTGTGGGGCGTTTAATAAGTTTAAAATTACTTTGCACCTTAAAGATAATGCGGTAGCAAAATTTTTTAAGCCGCGAACTGTGCCTTTTGCTCCGAAAGACAAAGTAAATGAAGAAATTGACTGATTAACACGTGCGGGCATTCTGATTCCGGTAAATTATTAGTCTAAATATGCTACACCTATCGTACCCGTATTAAAGGAGAACGGTAAAATAAGGATCGCGGGTGATTAATCATTAACATTAAACAAAGACCTAGTAATTGACAAATATCCTATGCCACGCATAGAGGAAGTCTTCGCGAAAATAGAGAGCGGCAAGATATATACAAAAATTGATTTAAGCAACGCATACAATCAATTTATCGATCGAGTTGGCCTCGAAAAATTCGTTGTAAATACATTCAACCGTATTTCAATTGTAAAATAGATTAGGAGGTGGAACACGGTTGTCTTATGCGGAGTTATAGAATTGTCATTCCAAAAATATATAGGGGTCGTATGTTAGAAGAATTTCATAATGGTCATTTTGGAATAGTTCAAACCAAAGGCATAGTGCGCGGTAAGATGTGGTGGCCGGGAATCGACTCTGCTATCGAGCGATTAGTGTCAAGCATTAGCGCGTGCAGCGCTGTGTGACCCGCGCCGCCGTGTGCGCCCCCCGCATCTTAGCCCCACGCGCCACCGCCTAGGAGCGCGTGCACATTGATTACATGCAACACGGACACCGCAAGTATCTCGTCGTTGTAGATAGTTCAGTAAATTGCTCGAATGTCTCCACATGTGCAGCAATATATCCACTAAAATGTTAATACAAAAACTTAAATATTTGTTCCATACTTTTGTTTTACCTAAGTTATTAGTTTCAGATAACGATCCAAAAATATGTAATGATGAATTTCGAAATTTTTGCAAAATTAATGGTATAAAATTAATAACGTCTCCTATTTATCACCCCTGTAGTAATGGCCAAGTCGACAATTCCGTACGCACTTGTAAGAAAATGCTTAAATGTATCTTATGTAATAATTTAAATGTAAGCAATGAACGAATGAATGAATTGTTATTAAGATATCTATTCGAATATTGCAGCAGTATTCACAGTAGCACAGGCGAAACACCCTGAAAATTTATGTTCGGTCGTGAACCGCGAACGCGATTAGATTTAATTTTACCACCTACGAATACAGACATGCAAAGATCTTGTGCTAATTGAATAAGCCGATTTAATATTGGTGAAAAGGTTTGGGCGCGTTGTCATACGTCCTGTAAACCATTTTGGTCCAAAGCTACAATTGTAAGTAGAGAAGGTAACCGAATGTATACGGTTTCAGTTGATGGTCAAGGTCTTTGCAAGTGACACGTGGACCAACTGCTGCGATATACGGAAAGAGACAAGACACCTGAAACTGCGAATGACGTATGTTGTGTATCAGCATTTCAGCCGCAGTATCCGATTACCATCTCGTCTGCACCTACCACCGTTGGTATGCCGGATAATAAGAATAAAGTTTCGCCAGACGGCACAGCATCCATGAATACGCATTCTAATGTCGAGACATCTTCACGGAAAGGCAGTGAACCAACTTTAACGCTAGATGCGGATAGAGGAAAGGCGGTGGTGTCAGATCGGCAGATTTATTCTTCTTTTTTTAATAGTATTTCACCATTTTATAATATTTCTATTTGTCAATAATTAAAAAATTACTTCGCAGATACTAGGTACTTACCGACGGCAGCGAGGCCATAAATTCTACATATTTTCAGGGACAGGCTTACTTTGCTTTAGCAAGTAGCGATCGTTCTCCTGTTCTCTAACCTCCATGGCATATATACTAGAGAATTAGAGAGAAACCTCCATGGACTTCATGCTCAAGGTTCAAAGTTAAACCATGGAGGTTAAAGAATAGGAGAACGATCGCTGTAGAAAATAGTATCCCAGATATAGACAAAATAAGTGATACGCTGCGATCGCTAAGTTACCTCAATAAAAGCGGGCTGTTGTATGCTAGTTTGAAATGACAATATCATTCAAAGAAAAAAAAAAGAAAAAAACTAAATTATTATTACTTATTATTATTATTTATTAACAAATAAATTATAAATTTTGGTTTTCATAATTTTAATTATTATAAATTATTACAAATAGATATTATTAATTATTATTGATTTATTGCTATTATCATTATTTTTATATTATATTACCATTTATTAATGTATCTTTTTTGCAATAATTAAGCAATTATATCGCAGATACTACTTATCAACGGCAGCGCAGCTATAAAATTTAAAAGTTTTTAGGGACAGGCGGGCTATGCTTTAGCACGTTGCGATCGTTCTCCTGTTCTCTAACCTCCATGGTTCAAAGAAATCAAAGGTCAATATTACTATTTTTAACTTCCCGCTAAGATAATTGAAAATTTCGAAAATTGGTTAAGTAATTGGTTTCACCCCCATTTTCGAAAATCGAGTTTTCATCAGATCTCGACGTTTTGAGACCCCAGAAAGCTATTCTGGATGTACGTATGTATGTTGTTACCATGTGTGTGTGTGTGCGTGCGTGCTGTTAGGATGGCTCGCCTGGGGTCCTTTTTAAAAAAAAGACACCTTTACTGCTGCAAAACTAATTTAATTTGATTTACACTTCGGAATATTATAAACTATTACAAAGTTGTGTACCGAACAGAGGTTAGAGATTGACTGCCTCAATTATATGAAAAATCACTTTTATATACTTTACATAATGCTTACAACAACAATTACTACCTTGTACATCGGTTCATAACATCTCCCCCCTTGAGACGGAGGCTTATCCTTTAAAATAAACGCAGGATACGACAAAGTCAAGATCATGAGAGTATACGATACAGTCATCTAAATATATATAGCAATGAAGACCTTGTAGTCCAGAAAGAACAGAATTCATCAGTCTTTGGAAGGTTGATGGGGCATTTTTGAGGCCAAAGGGCATACGTGTGAATTCAAAATGCCCAGAAACACCATTAGTGGTAACGCTGAAGCCCGTTTTTTCAGTATCCTTAGGATCTAAGCAAATTTGATGAAATCCAGAGGCTAAGTCTAGTGTACTAAAATATTTGGAATGACCTAATTGGTCGAGAATATCCGTAATGAGGGGAAGAGGGTAAACTTCAGAAACAGTGACATTATTTAATCGCCGATAGTCAATAACAATTCGCCACTTTTGCTTACCAGAAGCATCTAATTTTTTTGGGACAACCCAAACGGGGGCATTCCAAGGCGAAGTGGAGGGTCTGATAATATTTTGGTCAAGCATTTTCTTAATTTGCTATACTTTACATGTATAGGAGGTGCATTCCCGGTATTAATAGAATGTCGAATACTGTTTGTATGGGTTAAGAATTCGCCATCAAGATGAAATATATCTGTGTATTTTGAGATACACGTCATTAGTGCTTTCCTTTCTTGAGAATTTAAATGAGAGCATCGTATTTGTTCAAGTACCTTTTGAGAACGATCAATATTTAAAGAATTTAAGTTATGAATAATTTCTTTATGAGTGTTATCTAATTTTGACGACATAGGTTGGTATGGAGTCAATTGAACCTGAAAGTTTTTAATTTCGATTTCGTTTTCCGTAGTGTTTAAGATGGTAACGTTAACTCTATTATTCGGTTTTAACATTACAATACAATTAGCTAAAAATACGCCTTCGCAAACTTTCTGATCTAATACTAAGGCTTCTTTACAATCACCTATTTCTAATAAGTTGGCTACTTGGCACTCAATTACCATCTCCGACCGTGGAGGTATAACGTATAATGGCTTACTAAAATAAAAAGGGTATTGCATGACCTTGTAAATTAAGAGAACTAATAGAGTACTGTACATCTACGTTAAAATGTTGTATAAAATCACTACCTATAATACCATCGTAATGTAAACTAATTGTGTCGTCAATTGCATGAAACAAAAAACTAAATACTATCTTACTCTTAGAAGAAATCTGGTATTCAAAATCAATCTTAATAGACCCAAGAGATGCACAAGTGGAGTCATTATCGCTGAGACCTTTCATTGTAATTATATCAGTCCCTAGAACTGGTTGATTTAATAAACTAGAATATTTCACAATAGAAATCGAAGAACCAGTATCGATAAGAAAACATAGGGGCTTTTCATTAAAATTAGTCTTTAACATAACATGAGGCAGAGAAATATTATTATTAATATTATTTATTGTATACGTTTTCTTGCGTGTGCCAGCCCTAGAGAGTGACGTAGATTTTTCACAATTTATGACGTCACGTTGACAACCATTAAATTTTTTATTACAAAAGTTTTTAGAAATTGAGACATCATTTTTATTCCTTTGAGTCTCTGATTTTTTATTACTCTGTGTTAAAAATAACTTAGGAACACAGGAGTCGAGTCTTTTATTTGAAGTGGAGCATGTTAATTCTGATGAAAGTGCATTAAAATTAGAATCCTGTGCAACCGAGAATTGACCACAGGTGCGACCTTGAGACTCCATTGAAGACTTTTTGGATGTAGAATTTAAAGAATGTTCATTAATATTTTTTGGCATCCGTGTTTTATAAGATAATTTAGGAACACGGGATTCAGAGAGATTAATTGTTTTCGTGTCATTTAAATTAATATTACGTTTCGGCAGACACGGCACCGAAACCCTGTTTAGTTTAAATTATCATTGTTATTTTCAGAGGCGCAAACAACGTGTACATTAGAGTG